ATATTATATTATATTATATTATATTATATTATATTATATTATATTATTTGTAAAGAGATGTGTGGCTTGGCAGGTGTTGTGTGCATATACGTATGAAAAAGAGGAATCCAAATTTAATATTGCTGGAAATGACAAGGCACTAAACTGACAAACACGTAGCGAATCACTGAAAATCACTGAATGATCACACATATACTCAACTCAGCAATATGCGTTTAGCTGTGCGTGCAACTGTAGGACATGAACAATTCATCATGTCGTGACTGGATAACAGCATCCTTTCTATACTCTAAGGATCTCTAAACAGGTAGCTGTGAGTAAAATGCTGTCTCTAGATTTTGTGTACTTCTACATTTCTGCAGACATCTGCAGTGTCCTGTTTGTTACCTCTTAGCTCTTCCTCTCCCTGCATATCTGTAGTTTATGGCTTTCAAAGCTGCTTCTCTGACCTTTAAAAAAAATAGTCACATATACACCCACACCCTGAGATGTTTTTATGCAGTGATCTTCACGCTGCGGCTTGAAATGTTAAAGGTGTGGCAAATGTTCACTTTTATTAGCCGGGATAATGCTGGAGGAAACCTCGGTGCACAGACAGAGACCAAACACACACACGCGCACATTCATGTTTGCATTTAAATGCCGACACATTCCTACAGAAATCTGTGCCGTGCACAAAGACACAGAAGCCGCACGCGTCCACACACATCTGCACGGAGACACGCATGTGCTAGCACCGTGTGGTGGTGCCATAGGTAAGGTCAGACCTACTTTGACAGTGCTGTGCTGCTGTCAGCCTCGCAGGCATGTTTTTTAAGGAAGTGTTTTTTTCCCGCTCTTTAACATATGCTGGGTAGCAGCCACATAGACACTCCAGCATATGCTGGCAAGCCTCTGTCAGTGCACTTTAACAGTGCCTGGGGGAAATTAAAGGTCAAAGACACACACACACACAAGATGAACGCTCCTTCTGGCTACTGCACTGTCTGAGATATTTGTGAATAGCAGCACTTTTAGCATTAGCACCACTGGAGCATATTATGGCCTTTCCACACATACACGCACAAGCACACAGATATAAACAAGCAGTAATGAGGCATGCATGAATTTCTGCAGGATTTAAGCACATAAGAGAAAAAACGTGGCCGCTAGCTCTCTCCAGAAGTGAACACTGGAGAAGCAAAAAAATTCAATCTGACAAGAGCAGATGAAAAATGTTTCCATTATTGCTTTACTCTTTTCTATGAAAATAGGAGTGTTTGAACACGAGTTGATGTGTCACCTGTGATTTCTGATGGTCCTGCTTGTGCTCTTTTTGTTTTGTCTTTGTCTCAGAGAGTTTCCAAGTGGTTGTCAGAGGCAATGGTTTTCTCCATGCTAGAAATATTAACCAGGTCCTCTGCAGCTTCAAACTGAATGAAACACATACAGTAGGTAAGTTATGCAAATGCATGCAAAAGACAGAGAGGATATAATATGCATGGATTGGAAAGATAATAAAAAATCACATTATATTTGCTCTCAAACAATGATTGATTTAGTCTGGATGGCTTCAAGTTGCTATATGTGATTTGATTGCCATTTGGCATTTGGTTTCAGTGAGAAAATTACATTTTTCTTTGAATTTCAAACGCTACATTTTGTTTTTCACGCACAGATGAAAGGCCAGCTGGAATCGAGGATACCTACCTACTGTGTCCTGCCCCAGTCGTAGAGGAAGTGGGGAGGTGAGCTGCACATATTTGTGGCCCACTCCAAGTTTTGAGACTACATTGTTTCTCAGCTACGTCTCCAGACCCCAAACTGTCCATATATGGCTGTAACACAGATATTTGCCAGCTGCACTCAAGTTGTGTGTGGACCGTTGTCCTTGATCAAATTAGGGCCAAAGTCATTGTGTGTCTGCGATCAATCAATTTTTGTCACGGCTAACGAAGCCAGACACTAATCACAAGGGGACAACAGGAGCAGAGCCCAGGAACATGACTTAATGAGAGGACCACACCACTGCACGTGCATATCTGTTCGTGTGTGTGATTGTTTTTTTCTCTGAGAGGGAGAGTGTGAGCGGGGACAGTGGGGCCGTGCAAAGCCTCCTCTGAGGGGTTTCCAGCTTTACTGCCGGTGATCCAGAGCACAGTTTTATGGCGGGGAAGATAGAGGGATGCTTTTGGCTAAGCTCAGAGTGGAGCACCCCCGGCAGCCTTCCCATCCCTGCCGCCCGCAGTCCCGTGCATAATTATACTCTCCAGCCTGCAGCTTCAGACACCTCCCAGTCATCATCTGTCTTGTGTCTGTCACTCAGATTTCTTCCGTGATTTGAAATAGTCTTGTCTGCCAGTAAGCACCGCTGCTTTCTTGGGGAATTGATTTCCAGGGTTGGGAAGGAAACAAATGTATCTTTAGCACAGTGGAAGGAAGATGATTTAGGAGGTTGTCACAATAAAGTATACTTTACTCACGCCACTCGACAAACAAACGCATAACTGCACACGACTTAGACACCTCAGCAGGTATGTTTCTATAATCTGTTATCTAAGCAGAAAAACTTTATGGTAATTCCTCTTGAGACCATAGCAGGAATAGAGGCACCATTACCCACTGCAGTACTCCCCGAAGGAGGTATCCCTCCATATAACAGAGGCCCATCACAACACAGTCAGCACTGCCTAATACCCCATTTGCTACTAAAGAGGAAGTCAGCTGTGAATGGCTGAAAGGCCCACAGAGAAGGCCGACATCTGGTCGTTGACTTAAGTTTAAGTATGTGACGCAGTGACTGATGTGCTATGAAAGCTGGACAGGTGATAAAAAAAAACTCTCTCCTTTAGCAGATTATGTACAGGCGAGTTAGGACGAGTGCCTAATGTGTGTGAGAAACTGTGAATCCATCTACAAACAATGTCTTACAACTAAAAAGCCACCCATAATATGAAGGGGCTTTGACGAATTATTAGAATCGATATTCAACTCCTGCTGTGAAATCCTGCTCACATGTCTCAAAGGAAAACATTTTCCTGCTAAGAGTTGTTAAATGTATATATGAGAACTCTGGGACTGCCATCAGTGGTCCAAAAGTCCTAAAGAAAAACCTACACCCTCCTCCTGTTTCACACAAGTCACGTCACACATGATGAAGTTACGGCCATGGTCAAAACAAATCTGTGTCGACTGGAAACCTTCCGGATGCCCCCCCACCCCCTCACAGACACACAAACACCCGCATGCATGCAGAAGAAAGATTTGTGTTGTGGGCAGATTTGATGATTGATAGGGACTGAGACCGCTCTGTCAGAGAGCAGCTGATAGCATCACATCCCCAGCCTGCCTGAGCATCCAGTGGGGGGAAACTGGAGGGAATACGTAGAAAAAAATATCCCCAGCACCTGCACCTTCAATTTCCCTCTCCAGTCAGTGTTAGTGTGAGTTATTAGATGAGCCACAGTGAGGCATGGAGCAAGGGGGGGGGGGGGACGGAATGAGCGACAGAGGAAGTAAAGAGGGATCCACAGTAGGGAGGGACAGTGCTGGAGGGATGTAGAACAGGAAAAGCTTTCCTCCTACCATCCCCCGCCCTATGTTTCCTTTCCTCTGCCCTCCTGCCACCCTGCCGTGACCTCTTACTGCCCCCACCTCAAGACTAAACCCAAAGCTCAATGCTCTCCTTGTCTCCATTGCCCTAAACCATTAGAAAAGGCACAAGAAGCCTTTCTCCATTCTTCTCCAAACCCAGAGCAGAGATGGGCTGTTTTTATTCATATTCTTTTGGCATTTTTATACAGAATTCATCAACCTTAGTCAATTTTGCAACCTCATTTATGCACAGCGTCCGTTTTTATCAGCATTTCATCCCGTCAGCAGCTTTAAAAAAAAGGATTTGTTTTTTCCTGTCTCTTGCGCCTTGCCCTGGCTATCTTGATGCTTTTGAATCAACAACAAAATCACAGGGAATTAGGGGTTATTATATCCTTTTGTGGTTTCCGCATAAGAAGCCTGGGTCTAAACCAAGCAGAAAAGATTCCTTCTGAGGGTGGAGGGCTTCACCCTCCTCATCGGCTTCAGCCGGGAGACTTTGTCAGCATATTTGTGTGATTTAAAGGCAGCAAGTAGGGGCAAAGTGGACGTAGGAATGTCTCCAGCACCTTTGGCAAGCTTCTGTAATAACCACGAATATGTTGACACATGCTCAAAAGGGAAATTTGTGTGTGTGTGAGTCAGATGATAGGATGGGTTTGTGCTTTTTAGGGTCATCTACCTGCAGGTGAGCATGAACGAAGGCCTCTCCTACATCACAAGTTCAGTTCACATCACCACCACCGAATGTGTGAGTACAGCCTGCGTACGGGCTGCAACCATAAATGGACCTTTCCTTCTCTTCAGTATTGCTGCCTTTTTTAAAATAAACTTTTCCCAACATTTCTTTGTTTTCTCCTCTGGTTCTGTTTCTCTTATCTCCCTCTCTGTCTCCTCTGTTGTTCGTCATCAGAGGAGGCTGTGAGTACTTTGGCTCTCTATTTTCTCCTTTTTTTAAAAGATTTTGAGTTCTGAGTTTAAAGTGTAATCCTCTCATTGTGTGTGTGTGTGTGCGTGCGTGTGTGTAGTTCGATGGCACCCTGGTGCTAATATCGTTGCTGGTGGTGTTCCTGCTGCTGGCGCTGCTCCTGATGTGGTGGTTCTGGCCCCTCTGCTGCACTGTGGTAACCTTAAGTTTTTATCTTGGTTTTCACACTGAAATACCCCTGGCTGATTCACTTTTTAGAACCAGTCCACATAGCTGTAAATAATCTAATTTATAGCAATCATTTGCTTCTTTAGGTGATCAAAGAACCTCCCCCACCTCCACCTCCAGAACCGGTAGGTCCTTAACATGACATTGATCAGGTTATGTTTCATTCTAGCGATTTGCACAAGCAGGCAACGAATAGTATGGCGTTTAATTATTTTAAATCCGATAATAAAAGTAGTTTTGGATGATATGTTAAACGGTTTGAGTGGATCTTAATCAAGCTCTTAATCAAAGGAATCGGATGATGAGGATGGAATGCCGAAGAAGAGGTGGCCTACGGTGGATGCTTCTTATTATGGAGGAAGAGGAGTGGGTGGCATCAAACGCATGGAGGTACGAACATCTTATCGTTCTACATCTAGAATGAACAAAAATAGAACAGTACGTCGGATTATGTTTCAGTTTGGTTTTATCTTGCCTACAATTCCAAGGTGCGCTGGGGGGAGAAAGGGTCCACTGAGGAAGGCGCTAAACTAGACAAGCCTAAAAATGCAGTTGTGAAGATGCCGGAGCAGGAATTTGAACCTTATGAACCCAAGCCTCGAAAACCTCGCCGCAGTGCCCCACAGCAGAAGACGTGGTACTCACCCATTCTGGTTAGTGGATTCAGATTAGCGCATGCATGTTTTTTTTTTTCCGTCATGGGAAATTGAACCTGCTTAATTCAATTTCCCATTCTGGGCTTTTCAGGGGAAGCTAGATGCCCTGTGGGCTCTGTTCAGGAGAGGTTACGACCAGGTTTCTCTGATGAGACCACAGCCCGGAGACCAGGTGAGACACTTTTTCCGAAAAAGAAATGCAGCCTATTTAAATTTTGTCTGCAGCTAAAATCTAAAGTTCCTCAAATAAGGCAGTATCTGATTAATTTAAAGCTTTGGTCTGAGTGACAAACACTGAGAGCCTTTCAACAGTAACTTACATGATACAGAGGAGTTTCTGTCTCAGTTTTAAACAACTAAGCATCTGCATCTTCTGTCTCTCCACATAAAGGCGTGTGTTACTGGGCAACATGTACCGCACAGCTCTGGTTTTCAAAACACATGCTTACATTCACTCTCAGTCAAAGAGCTACTGATACCGGTCTTTCAGTCAAAGCTACAATTGTTCCTACACAGGGAGTACTGTTCCCTTCTGTACTTTCCCCCTGTGAATACAGAGAATGACTAGCCTTTTACCAAGTTTCTAAACCACAGGCATCACCTTCACTCTCTGATTTCAAGTTAGGATTTAGATTTAAAAAATAGGCTGAAAATAAATTCAGCCTTCGTTACTGCCACTGAAACTGAATTGGGACATGACTGCATCCGTGACACGAGATAAAACTGAGCAAATCCAACCTCGACTCTGTGAATAGCATCTCATAACTCCAGAGGCATGTTTTCATCATCATGCTGGTTGTCATGGTAAAACATCTGCACCGTTGTAAATGGTGTCATTGTAGCTTCACACAGCGGACGCCAGATCACTTATTGATTTGTGCTTTGAATGGCATGATTCATCTACGCAATGCAACAGGGTTCTCTACTGTATCAGAAGTCCATAAAAGTGGTTTCCATCAGTGGAGCCATCCTTTTTGTCCATTTTGATTTTTTTTTTTTTTACCAACATGAACAATTAGTCTCTGTAAGGGCATAAACCTCTGGAGCCTTTGTCAGCCACTTTCTGTGGGACTGTGGTTCACAGGGCTATTCAATAATGACCCCGTTAACTGCCTTCACGCACCATTAACTGTGGAAAATGAAACGCTACTTCTCACATGGAAAAAATGGGAGAGAAAAAATCCACTTTTGTTCTGCGGGAGATAGTCGTTTAGAAATTGTGTGAACAGCCGTATCAGACATGACAGACGGCGGAGGTTTCTAATGGCTGACGGGACCATGCATGACCCTAAATTCTGACTCAGTTTTTTAGCCGACAGCAACACCATTAAATCTTTCCCCCAAAGAAACAACAACCATATAAAGTGTTGTTCTGTATTTTATATATTTCCCTATTTCCCATATGTGTTAAGCAGGATCTTAGATAAAGTTCACTCTACTTTCCCCCCTCGTTATCATATCACCTGCTCTGAAAACTCATCGGTGACATGCCTTTTTCTGATTGGGAACACATGGATGGGAAGTTGAAAGGCCATGAGTCAAATTGTCACAGACGAGATTCCTTTATTTTTGTTCAAAGAGTTAATGGTGCTAAAAGCTAAAAGGACAGGCCAGACCGGAGGACGGCTAGATGACACAGTCCTTCTTCATCCTCTTTTACTCTGCCTCACTTCACCACATAACGGGTTTGGAAACCACTGGTTCGAAACAATCAGAGATTCCAGAAAAGGTTCAATTTAGAGAAATGCATTGAGTACTAGTCTGAACTTTATTTACATTGAAAAAACTCATATGATACTCAGAAAAAATAAGCTTGGCCTCTTTAATGACAATAGCACCTCCAAAAGGCACACAAATTTGCCCAAAAATGGGGTATGTCTTTATTTGGTAGAAGAAAAAAAAAATCTACTATACTATTTAAAATCAACATATTATTAATTGTAATTTCTGATTTCTTTTACTGGTTCGGTTTTTACTTCACATCCATGTCTTTGATGTTGCTTTCCCAAAATGATTTTTTTGGGCCGTTGTTCTTCACTTCAGTAGCACTAACAGATGTCTGTTTGTTGAGAATGGAGACTCGCATAAGCTTTGAACATACTTAGTAGCATGTTTACATGGAGATAAAGCCAAAGCTTTCCTACTATGAAGTGGATTTACTCCTGCACGTGCACACGTAACAGTTTGCTGATGTGAATGAAATGATGTAATATTCGAGCCGACAGACTGTCAGATGTGTCTCCGCTCTCTCAGCATTTCTCTTAGTATTTACTATAACGTTGACAGAACAGATATTTGTTTGCATGAGTTCCCCACAATCCGCCTAGCGTGTGGGTATTTTTAAAGTGAGGGCAAAGGCTAATGGCTTGGAAGGAGAAAACTTGACAGAAATTGTGTGAGAAGAGGGATGCTGGAGGTGTTTCAGGGTTTGTTTTTCTCGTAAGACAGAGCTGAGCATTTGATGTAAGCAACCATCACAAGGAGAAATGAAACAGTGGCAGATATAAGAGCCAAAGGGTTGTACAATAAGAATGTAAACAGACAAATTAAATCAAAGACATTCTGAATGTTTGTCATATCAGGAGCAGTAAATGTCATGATTGATTATATATATATAATATCTGCTTATTGGTGGAAGGGCCATTTTTTCGGTTATGGATATCCATAGTTTTGATGCTCTTTTTGATGCACACATATCTTTTTGGGTATGTGTCTGCATTATTTTAACAACTGCTGCTCTGATTTGCTGCTTCTCTGGACTAGAATGAATTTTAAAGTCCTCATATCCTGCTTATATAATCATTTTTTGAAACTGACATAACTCTCACATATGTATTATGTACACATTATCCTCTTAAAGAGGAGAAAGGCTGTTATGTTTTATGGTGCTCTTTGCACTCAGTCTTCTTACCTTTGTTGCTATTATTCATGAGGTTTCATTCGGGCCATATGCTGTGGTGGAAGCATGCTTACAGTCACACACACACACAAACACACTCATATTCATGAGCTTGTGTTCTCATTGTGTCCATATGCTCTTTCTGGTGTTGTGCTGCTGCTCTGCTGCTCACAAACTGGCCTTTTCACTGCGGCCTGTCAACAACACCAAAGCCGTCACCCCTCCCCAAAAGCCAGGCTGCCCTCAATCAATTACACACCCCACGAACAAAGGCCCCTTCAATCACAAAGCCACTGCTGCCGGGGTCCTCTTAATGGCCCCTGTGTGACTTTAGGGGCCTCTCTGTTTAATAAGGTGTTATAATCAGACCACCAAGTGTCTGTGACACAGAGACCTACTCTGCATCCTTCACACACTGACCGAGACAAGAGTTTGTGTGTCTGTGTGTGTGTTTGTCCGCAGGATGCTGCAAGGCCAAGAAAAAAAAAAAAAAAAAAACTTCAATGAGAACAATAAGAGAAGCGCTCCATTCTCCCAGACTTGTAAATTATGTTAAACGCCGACATTTATCTGCCGACTATTGTGGGGATATTTAAATCCTCCTCTGGAGCACATAAGAGACATAAACCAGTGCTTGTCATATCAGAGGCTCCTGCTGTGGAGGAGAGGAATCAGGCAAAGCCAGACACGGCTTTCTGCTGTGTGTGCAGGAGGACTTTATCGGGGCCTGTCTTTGCAGGTGTGGCCAGAAGACAGAGGCCGCTCTGTGCGCTCTCTGTGGACTCACACACACACACACACAAACACACGCGCACACACCCAAACACGCGCGCACACACACGTTTGTCTGCAAAGTTGTGCAAAGGCTCACAGAAGCGTTTTCGACTGGTGAATTAAGAGCTCATTGATAATTACATAGGGATGCGCTGCGTTTTCATGGTTACTGTGCGCTGAAACAATCATTTGTCGTATGTCTCGCAGGGTCGCTGCATTAGTTTCCAGCGGGTGAAAAATGGAGAGTCCACCCCAAACCGCCAGACCCCCACTCGCACGCCTCACTCTGCCTCAGCTCCTCCTCCTCCTCCTCCACCAGCTGAAGAGCAGCCCCTGGTCTCCAACTCTGTCCCCCGGACGAAGCCTCCATCCAGGGGCCCCCGCACAGCGCTACCCCCCATCGCCGCCCCCCCGTCGCATCCACCACCTCCCGTGGCCCGGGTCCCCCCCTGTCCCCCCCCAGCCCGCGCACCCCCAGGGCCGCCAGGACCCCCGCCATCTCGTCCCCCACCCAGACTGTAACGGTGACGAGAGGCCAGCCTGTCCGCTTGTTTCATTAAGCAAAGAGTGTTTCGCTTTCAGAGCACAAACGTCTTCCAGGCCAGGAGCTCTGAGCCTTGTTGCTGGACAGCAAAGAAAAAGAAAAAAAAGAGAAAAAAAGATCTAACGTCAAAATCTGCTTTTTTTAGTCTCACTGCAGTCTAACTTAAACATAAGCGCTAGAGAGCTTAAACATTGAAAACATCAAACATTTACTTGATTAGGTCGGTGCGTTCAGAATGAGACTTCTTGTCGGGTGGGGAGCATGAGGGAGATCCAAGCATGAGGGTTTTAGTGTTGTTCAATTTTAGCTTGTGACAGTTTAAGTATAAATGCTGAAAGAAAACAGACTGCTTTGGTTTTTTTTTTAATATTGACAGAAGTGATGCTAAAGGCAGCATGTGATGAAAGATATTAGCAATGTGTGTTGTTGGGCTTTTGTTTTTAAGTGAATACAAACCAAATTATGTGTCAATTCACGTGTAACTAACTTTTCCACCAAAGAATAATTTCTGCAATCTTTTTCAAATTTAAACTTCATTAATCTGGTAACTGCGGGGCAGTTTTTCCATGTTTTTTTTTATTGCTACAGTCTGTTCATAATCAGGTAGATGTGCGGGTTTTCAAATCTTTTTGGGAGCATTGCAGCAGATATTAAGAAGCATTCTGCCATATCGACTGATGTATATTTGTGCTTATGAACACTTGAGAAAGAATGCATTGAAAATGTGTACCTTCAGGGTTTTTCTATATACTGCATTTACTGACTGAAATGATCGTTTGTATTATTTCTTTATCAATAACTTGTCTGTCTTCAATAAAGTCTTTTTTTAAATAGGTTGCCTTGTACCTTATTCTGTAATTGATATACAAAGTAAGTCATATTTTACCATTTATACGTATAACATTTTTTGTATTCATAATAAATGTGCCCATAAATACACAGTCATGCCACAAACCTGAGGACATAGTTATTAGTTAATTAGATAATACATGATGCAATGTTTGATGTAATGCGGTTTCTTACTACGCTGCTCTTTACAGTAATTGCACATTCAATGTTGTCAGGACATTTCTGATATATTCCTAGGATACTTCCTAATTTAAACTTGTTCCTTAAAATCGTACTTCTAGAAAACATTTAGGTGCTGATTAAGCCGTCACTTCTTTACCGCAAATGCAGGGTTTGTTATCATTTGTAAAATTGGATTTTGTCATGCCATAAGAGGCTGTGTGCATTAAAGGGAAATATTTAATCAATATACTCAAAGAATGCTTCACTATATAAATCTGGGACTTGATTTAAAATAGAAATATGCAAAACATCTGCAAAATAAGCTCCAGGTTTAATGGGAAAAAAGTTCTAATGCATAAAGTGAGAAATCTACATTCAGTTTTCCACTTTACTCCAGCTAAAGGATGTAGTGATTCTGAGTTTATATATTGATTTTTCCAAAGGAATCAAGTCTTTGTTTTAAAGTAGCCATCTGTTGTAGATATTAAGTCTTCTGGTGGCATTATAGTATCCACCAGCTCGTGGCCATTTCATTTCTTTGGGAGGACACAGCACTCTGCAGTGGTTTCTCAGAACAGTCTTTAATTAGAATGTGGATGATGTCTGATCCCACATTCATTTCCGTATGACATACTCATCTCTGATACAGTGAGGTGCGACTGAGAGGTCAGTCTGACACTGTGTGACTCACTTTGCTGTAACCCATGTGAGAAAATGAATCATAAGAATTGCAGCAAACATCACACAGTCATCGTCTAAACGCTGACAGACGCAACATCAGCAGCTCAGAAAAAACTGCTTAAAAAAAAAAAAAAGAAGGGGTATAATGTGTCAATTCAGCTCAAAAACCGCTTTAAAAGCACTATGCTTTTTACTCATCATTCACTCTACACATTCACAACACAAAAACAAAACCCTCCCTTGAACAGCTGGATTGTTTGCATGCATTTCCACACATAAGAATATTGAAGTCCGTTGTTCAGGAGAAATAGATCTGATGCAGGACCTGGTGACTGCGGAGGCCAATTCATGGCGGGGGCGGTGTTTTCAACGTGCTCTACGCCGTTGTACACAGTTATTTATTGACTGCTCTCGCACCACTTGAGGCGTCGGTTTAAAAACAAACCGGTTCTACCTCTGTGGACTCACGTCTGGAGTTTGTGTTTAGGTTTTTGCACGTTGAACACACCACCGCTCGCATCACAGTTAGTCCATGGAGTTAAATAAAGTTGGTTTCTTCACGCTTTCCCCTTTTTCCTCTGCTGTTTCTTTCCAGACAGCGCCCCCTTCTGGGCTCCCCGCACCATGCCTTTGAATTGGCCGTGCAGCTTGGCCCGTTTCCTGTAAAGAGCAGAGTCACGCTGGTATCTGACGGGTTTCGCGGGGCCAAACTTTAATGTGAGGCCTCAGCGGCGGCTGCTCGTACCTGCGGTTGAGCTGGGCCTTCTTCAGAGGGATGTACGCGTACGGGTCCGGCTGTCCTTTCTTCTTCACGTCTCCTTTTCCTTTCTGAGAGGTGAGAGATCAGAGAATGAGGCGTCACGGCGGCCGTTCCAGAGAAACCCTTTCTGATGCCGCTGCCTTGCAGCGACAGCTTTTCATGCCGGCTCACCTTTGATTTGTAATCGGCTCCAATGTCTTGCCTTCCTCCCAGTGGCCTGTGGATACCTGAACCACCAGCTGAACAAAAGACGGGTGTCATCCCAAAAAACTTATCACATTGTGAACAGTTTTTCCTAGTTTGTATTCTCTTTTGAATTACCTTTATATTTCAGCTGTGGCTCAATGTCCATGTCATCGTCAAAGTTATTATCTCGAAATTTCCTCTTCTGGGACTTTTTCTAAAGTTGTTATGAAGAGATGAGCATAAACAAAACAGTAGAGAAAAACAGAGTCCTAAAAAGCTGTTTTTTTTCCGGTGAGTACTCACACTTTTGACTCCCGCTTCTTCCAGAATGTCGTTCATCTCTTCACCATCTGTGAAAAGTGGAGGCTGTCATCGGTCTGTCCAGAGGCAGCGTAAGGCACACCACTAAAATGCTCTCACCTTTGTCTTTCCCATCCTCTTCTTCCTCGTCTCTGATGATCAGCCGTCCGTCTGAGGTCACTTTGAAGCCGTGCTCGGCCTTGTTGCTCTTCTTCAGCTCGGGATTTGTGGCTGACAAACAGCAGAAGTCAAGTTCATTTTTGCGGAACATCAAAGGGTGATCAGCAGCCGCCAGGATCAAAGTTTGGATGCTTCCTTACCTAGAACTCTCTGGGAAACCTTAGGATCCAAGAAGTTGAGCGGGTCGTCGTCCGCTCCCTCTTTGAGCCACGCCCGCCCTTTCTGCTGCTTGCCGGCTTTTTTCGGGGGCTTTCCTTCATCTTCTGACAAGTCGCTGTCGGACTCGGCGAGAATGTCCTCAATGCTGGAGCAGCAGGAAGAAAGTTCCACAATGAAAGTCGGCACATTTGAGACTCGACTTTTCTTCCTTCGGGAGCAGCGGCCTACTTTTGGCTCTTTGCTTTGGGGGCCTCCTCCTCGCTCCCTGAGTCGTCCTTCTCCTCGGCAGCCTGCCTCCGCCTCTTGCTGCGGGCTTCGGCCTTGCGGATGTTGGCCAGCACCTTGTGGTGCTCCGCGGGCAGCATGCTCTTCACCAGCTCGAACCTACAGACGACACAGAGAGTCTAAAGCGAGCTCACGCTGCTGAGCCGGCAGGCAGGCAGCCCAGGGGACACAAAGCCCTCACCCGAACTTCCGGATGAACTTGGTGAAGATGTTTTTCAGTTTGGTTCGGAAGTGTCTCCTCACGTCATCCGTGATGTTTCCGATGCCCTCCATCTGAACAAGATAACAATGTGAGGCACTGATCTCTTTAGGGCCCATTTGTCTTTCAACTTCTCCACCTCAATCTAAATATGAATTACTTCCACTGAGATTGGCTCTGGTCTACCACCTGATATTTGTACAACATTTTCCTTTTACACTAAAACCACTGTTTTCAATTCTGGAACAAGTTTAGGCAAAAGCAATGCACATCAGGTAATATATCCACACAGCTTTGTTATATATACAAAGGAATCCATTTTTCAGGGTAATTATAACACGGTTGTAACAAAGGTTTAATATAAGACTTAAAGAAAACCTTCACTACCATTTCTGGAACATCACCATGAAATCTCACAGAAAATGTTTTGAGAGAGAGCCTTTTTGAAACCCTTTGTATTCATTATTTAGATGAAAGATGCAGTCTGATGGAGCTCCAATAGAACTGGTTGTAACCTTTGAAACAACACAATCAAAAATCCGACTAGAGAACTTCTAGCCCAGGTGACACGGGGGTGCCGCCCCTGTGCGACTCCTACCATGACGGTGACGTGCGAGGCCAGCGCCTTGTTGTCCATCACGAACAGGATGACTTTGATGAAACCTAACGCAGCTTTGACTATCTCTCTGGTGCGAGACGACAGCAGCACACAGATGTTGTGCAGCAGCTGCTCCATGGTGGACACCTCTATGGAGTCTGAGAGAAAAAGAGGAGCGGACTGAATTCCTGCCCGCGACTAGCTGCTGTTAGAGCGGCTCAGCCCCTGGCGACGGCCGCTCCCACCTTTGTACTCGAACACTATCCGCGTCAGTGCCAGCACGGTGCAGGTGATCATGGTGACGGAGCCTGTGAGTCCAGCGTACACCAGCACCAGGTACTGCTCCATGGCATCTGGAAGAGCGGCGGAGAGCCCGTCATTTAAAAGAGCTCACAGCGGACAAAAAAAAGAAAAAGCTCACAGAAGAGACGGCTCACCTTTTCTGCTCTCACAGAAGCGAACGAAAGCATTTCCTATCTCCACCAGTAGATTGTAAGCGTTCTTACGAGCCCCGACTGACACCTCCTTGGTGCATATGATCACCTGAAAGTGAGAGCGTTGCTGTGAAAAACAGGAAACGATGGCACCATCTGCGTTGCGATTCTCGGCCCTTATCCGTGTCCCTACCTCTGGTAGCAGTGCGGTGATGAAGTCTTTGTGCTCCTCATTGAGCCTTTTCACGATGTGGATCAGGCACTTCAGTCTGGGCTGAAAAAGGAACGACACGGTCAGACAGTGTCGGTAAAGATTCACACGGGTACTCTGCCTCCCCTCTGCCCCAACGGACTCACCCTCTTTGCTGGTGAGGAGGCATTTTTCAATGTGTCGAGCAGCACGACTTTGAGTGTCTCCAGGTTGGAGACGACGAAGGATCTGCATTCGTCCCTCTCTGCTCCACACATCTCCTCCAACACACGGTAGGCCTTCTTCTGCATGCCGGGCTCTTTGGCCTGAGAGCAAATCCATCAAAGGAGACAAAGGTAAAAAAGAATTATACTGATCTGAATTCAAATGACACAAAGGCTGCGTTGTGACTTTACCTCCAAATATGGCCTAATTAACTCAAAGGTTTTAGTGATGGTGGCCTCATCTACGAACGGAGCCATGGCAACCACAAGGTCCATTACTGACAGTCTGAGAGGTGCAAGAGGCCAGGACAAAATAGGAGGAACAGACAGTGGAATAAGTGCACTTTCATTAAACAAGTTTGTTTAATAAATATTTCAGAAAACCCATCTTACCGTGTGAACTCGGTGCTCTCGGCGCTCGTCAACCTTTCTGTGGCTTTTTCCAAGAAAGTGCAGATCAGCTAAGGAAGATTGTTTTCATTAGTTACAGCGCATCTCTCTACATTTACCAGTGCAAAGTCCACAATGCGGCGCCAAGTGGCACAGATCTGACAGACCTGCATTTCAGTGACTGATAAATAGACTTTAATGGTGTCCAGCACAGCCATCCGGTACGTTCCAGGCTCCCCCGCCGGGGGCTGCTGGCTGAACACGTTGAAAAGGATGGGCAGGAAGTTCTTGGAGAAGCGGCCAATTTCAGCCTTTTCTTCCGCTTCAAACAAAAAGCAGAATAAAGGTTTTTTCCCCCCCAGGATTGGATGTTTGCTGCAGTCATTTTTCTTGCCGCCTCCCCCTCTCTGAGCACGTGGGTCCTACCTGTGGGGCAGCTCTTGCCAATCAGAGTGCGCAGCGCCTGGCAGACGGTGAGCCTCAGGTCCGGACGCTCGTTAATCGCCATGCCGAGCACGCGGGCGATGCCTTTGAAAGACGCCAGCAGGTCCACAGGACACGTGCAGAAGCCGGGAAGCATGGTCCAAATCTGAAATCAGGCCCATTATCTGTGAGCTGTTCGGCACTGGGCAGATTTCAGATGACCGCACTGAACAGTGAGACAGATCTGGTACCTGGAGCTGTAAGGTCTGGTAGACTTTGGCCTCTAGTTTCTTTTCATCTTTCTCCAACTCCTCAGCTGCAACACAGTAGAGATTTTACCGTTAAGACTCAGAGAAGCTATAAATTACCACCATCTGAGTTCCTTCATTGTAATTCTTATACTTATTTTACCCCTCTGCTTGAGAGTAGAAGCCAGTGGGAGGAAATATGAGGTAAAGAATCCGAGGTTAGTGTTCTTCACGTGGTCTCGTATGACCGGGATGAGCCAGCTGCGCGGGAACTCCAGGTCGTCGCTGAAAGTAATCATCGGCCGTTAAAGCCGTGGCTTTGCACTCTGTGACAGCGGGAAAAGCCCAGCGCGGCGGGTCTCTTACTCGTGGCCGGTGATGTTGAGAGGCACGGCTGTCAGCACGATCTCAGGCCCCATGCTCTCCACAGCTCCTCCCAGAGCCAGGTCCAACTCCCCGCTGAAGGGGAAATGAGGAGTGGCGCGCAGGTCGGCCAGAGACTGCAGGGACTGTCCACAGACACACAGACACTCGGTGAGACCTTCAGTCTGTGGTCACCCAGAGGAGAGATCCGAAACGTTTCACGGTGGTTACTTTGCTCATGACGGGGTGGGCCTGTTTTCCAGCCGCTCGATAGAAGCAGCTCAGGATCTGCAGCACAAAGGGCCAGGCGGCATGGAAGCGATAGGACAGTCCCTCCTCCACGATGCTACGACAGATATTTAGCGCTCAGCCACAGCCATCTTGATGCAGTCTCTACCCACAATAGAGGATTCGGCGGACATACCGAAAAATTTTGCAGACGTATGAGGGGTTTCCCGCTGAGGCTGTGGCAGTGACCATCCCCATCTCGTCCATATGGGGGGCAACGCATTCGGTCAGCAAAGTCTGAAACGCATGGACACGACTAATCAAACAGCAGCACCTGACCTCCAGCAATTCAGCAACAGCCCAGAGGCGTCGGAGCCTCCGGCGTTCCGACCCACCCATAACCCGGGTTGTTTGTCTTCACCTTTAGCGTGTTGGTGGCCGCAGACACCACCTGAGTATGTGGTGACAGCAGGCAGGACATGGCTGTGGAGAAGAGGCGAGGGAGGTGGCCCAGACTCAGGGAACTCTGTAAGCTAGACAAAAACAAAGCACCGTTCATTGATCTGCGGCTTGCCATTCATGCACAGCTGAGAGAAAAACATGAATGTTTGATACCCCGCGAGGTGAACGTGTGCTTTCTCCATGACGGCGAGCCAAGCCATCAGAGGCTGCAGGTCGTTCTCACTGGGAAGGTAGTCGTACAGAGCCTGTGGACGAGACGCGAGGGTGAGCTTTCAGTTTGTTTTTTAACCACGCAGCGGCTCTCTTTTAAGTCCTTTTACCGTGATGATCTGTGCGTTGAGTTCTGGAGAGAGGAGGGAGGCATTTGGCTTCCCACTGAACAGTTTATGAAATGCCTGCATGGCACTGGCCGTCACCAGCTGTAGCCACAAAGACAGCAGACGCATTAAAAACCACAGACGAGCCTCCGCGTAGCGGCTCAGAGCATACGGGGCTGAAACAGTTGGGCCTTCTCACCACGTGGCTCAGAGTCATCACACGCAGCAGAGTCTCACAGCAGGACTTGACAGCCCCCAGGGGGAATGTTCCCATCAGCTCCTTCATGAGACAGAGCACGTGAAGCGTAGTGGTGTCCTCTTTGCTGCCTGAGATGGGTTAAAAAAAGAAGAAATATATCAAACTGTTGGACTACCAGATAATTTATAGATATGTTTTGAAAAGGTTTCAAACTCAGACATTACTAATAATTATCTCCATTAATCACTGTTTAAGATAAAAACTATCATTTGCTTTTAATTTGATGGTTCTGGAATGAAGGGTTCTTTCATTTGCAGCAGTAACAACGCCTCACCTCCCGCCTGCTCCATCTCTTTGATGCAGAACTTTGCAGTGGTCACTGCAGCAGGGTGATGGCTCGGGGCGTTATCAGTAAACAGGAAATCACTACCTCGAAGAATGGAGCAAACACCCTGCTGAGCTGCTTTACGGACCTGGCAGTAAAAGGATGATATGACAATAATTGTAGCACATTTCCCTCCTTTTCTTTTTTTCCCCAAGTCAACATGGTTTTCTTAAAATCGTCGGTAAATTCTGCCCATCAGTTCACGCGGGCTTGTAAAACTGACCTTGGGCTTGCTGTGAACAGAGAAGCTGAGCAGACCATGGTAAGCCTGCAGAGTGGTCGGGTATGTCCAGACAGATATATCCTGCTTCCTCAGCAAGGTGGCCAGACATGACAGGATCTATAGATGCACAGAAACATAAAGAAACATGTTTGTGTATAAGCTTTGAAACAGTGAATAGACAAAGGGTATGAAGATATAAAGAGTTCAACATCTCACCCATCTGAGTGCCGAAGCCGTGTCAGATGTGGCCTGTTTCGACATGATGTCCATCAGAGCTTTGGTTGTGTCCGAAAACTTAGACATGAGCACCGGAGCAGGAACACTATGAAATGTGAAACACCCGCCAACCTGTCAGCACCGATCAGCTTTCAAATATCCGATGGTTTTGTTACGATTTTGTTTTTTTAAGTCAAAATTGTACCGTTTCATGACAAGATTGAGGAGGTAAGCCACTGCAGCCTGGGACTCTGCTGAATCCACAACTTCCAAGGTGGTCATCTACGCAAACCAAAGGCCTGCGTCACTATACTTCACGTTCAAACCCAAAACCTAGTTTTCTCTACTTTCTAGATGATTAATTAAACCTATTCGTGAAGTCATGAGTGAACACATTAAAGAAGGGAACACTCACCAAAGCAGCAAAGTACTCTGTTTCAGTCTCCTTTCCTCCCTGGCTTCGGATGACCTCAGTGACAGCCGCCAAAACTGCGCAGATCTGTGGGGATTGACACGGTTACAGGTACAGCTGAAAGACTTTTCAGTGCTTTGCAAATTTATGTTCCATTTTTGGCCAAAACAAAAGTGTCACATCAACAGAAAAAAAAGGTTGTTTAACATTAACCACCCGTGTATATCGATTTCTTAAAAGGGCATCAGAAAAACATGATGCACCATGTGTGCAAAGCCCACCTCTTTGTGTGCAGCCGAGTTGGACTCCCAGAAGCGCTGCACCTTTCTGAAGGTGAGGTTGGAGCAGTCCGAAAGGCCACTGAGGAAGGTGCCCGAAGTTCTCTCCGACTGCATCTCATCAGGCTCCTCTTCCATGCGGGCATCTTTACGGCTGCCTGCACTGAGCTCCAGGGGAGACGTCTGCAGTTCATTGTGAAGCTTGAGAGCGTCGACTGTTAGATCGCTCTTTCCTGTAAGAATGTGGGATAAAAAAACATTTAAAACACACTACACAGAGGGTCAAAATGAATTTTGGTGATCAATTGTCAGACATTAAAGACAAGCTTCTTTTTTTTTTTAAATCATGAGAACATGACGCATTTAATTTTGTGAATTACACAAATGGACTCAAGCCTAAAACAAATGTATATATGGAGCTGCATGTGGGAGTTGTTATTGTAACTGTCTCTCAAGTATTTTAGATTAATCCTTTACATTTACCCCTGGAATATTCACAAATAAAAATGACAGCCACGTTGATAACAAAATCAGTGATACACAAAATGTGCACAGCTACCTAGAGCATAACCAGTAACTTGTGCAGCAAGTTATTTAAAAACTTTGTTTATTTCTCACCAACTATTTTCATATTAATAGACAAAAAACACAGAGAGACCATCATAAAATAAATGGAGCCTGTTCTGGGAGCATGTTATTGATTCCAGGCTCAAAGGCCAAAGAACAAACAGACAGTTTTATCAGGCTGTTAGAAGTTAAATGGCTGATGCTACCGTGTTAGCACGAGCCAGACCCACGTGTAGCTTACCGGTGGGTCGGCTGAAGAAGCGGCTTTTAGCAGCCTCCCGAAAACGGCTCGTCTGCGGGTTGGAGTCACTACTATGGCCCTTCTTCCACCGTTTAAGCTTCGAACCAGTCCCAGACCGAAGTTTCCCCGATTTGACCATTTTCGGGTTGGAGAACTGTCACGTTCCCCAAACTGACTTCAGACCTCCAGTTGACGCTGTCGCTCACCAAGTGACGTCACGGGTGCGCCCAGGTTTCCAACGTGGCTTTGTGACTTTTCACCAGTAGGTGACGCTGTCCACACTCCAAACAAAACGAATAACATCCGATCAGTTTAAACTTCAGTGATAATCAGTGTTGCCAACTCAGCGACTTTGTCGCTATATTTAGCGACTTTTCAGACCCCTCCAGCGACTCTTTTTCGAAAAAGCGACTAGCGACAAATCTGGCGACTTTTCCGGTGTCACTGGCGGCTTTTGGAGACTCTTATGTGAAAGCACGTATCGTTCATAATCTTGTCCTCCAGCGGCAGCTGCTGCCGTGGGGCGCCTCCCCCCTCCCAACCCCGTTCTCCCGCTCCAGCAGGAGTCCCTCTCAGCGCTGCAGTCAGAGGCACCTGTTAGTTTTCGCGCCCATCCCCCGTCTCAGTGAGTTCTAGAATAATTGTATCTATAATGTAGATCACCCTACATTATAGGTTACTTTGTTTTGTAGTTTGACCAATCAGCAGAGACCGCGGACACTTTCTCCAAAGTCAGAAAAATGAGCTTTTGCAGCTCGGTTCACTGGACATTTTCAAAAGAAACATCAAAACTAACCATGTGAACTTGATGAAACTCATACATTTTATTGTTGAATAGTTGTGTTTAGTGTTGACATACAAGTTGTTTGCTGAGGAATTATTAAAATTATTGAAAATACGGCATGAAAAATGCAGGCACCATATTTGATCATGTGCCCTTTTCACTAAAAACTAGATTTTACTTGGAATGTCTGTTTTTGGACATATGCCCAATGCATCTAACAAAACATACTATGCATTTTCTTTACAAATAAAGCAATACAACTTAGCATATTATGTTTTAAGGTCGCAAAAGATTTTTATATCACTATACAGTGATTCTGCTCAATTTCAACACTGTGTTTTGCCGCCGCCCGCCCCCCCTAAATCTTTAAGATATTTGGTTGAATCTGCTTTAGTTTAGATTCTCATTGGTTTGTTTTTAGTCATGTGACTTGTTTTTAGTCATGTGACAAAAACAAGGAAGTGGGCGGGCTACCGGGATACCGCGGTAAAAGACGAAAAACGGAAAACCGGGAATACCGGGAAAACCGGGGAATATCGGGGAAAACGGCCACCGGGGGAGGGGGGCCGGGGCTCCCCAGAGGGGAGACCCGGACCCCCGACCCCGGTTCGATATCACTGTCAGAGTAGACCCGCACCGAACCCCGGTATCGCGGGAGCCCTAGGACGCAGTAGCCCGGTAGCCCCCCCTCCGGCCCCGGTAGCCCGGTTGCCCGGTAGCGCAGTTTCCCGGTAGCCCCCCCCTCCGGCTCCTTACCTTGTTCGTGCGTTGCAGTGAGAGTCCGCCATCTTGCCATTTGAGCAAATTTAAATCACTCTGGAATTTGGAAAAAAAAAACAAACAGGGGTTTTCAAAACATTTAGGGAAACTCCAGATGGGAAAACAAGTAAAAGTTGCAGAATGACATTTAGTCTTTCAAATCTTCATTTTAAACTGTAAACAAGGAAAAAAGTACAAGTAGCTTGTAACTGTACTTATAATATAGAATGAATATGACTGTTTTAAAAATATAAAGTAAAATTTAGGGGGACATTACATACATACATACATACATACATACATACATACATACGTACATACATACATACGTACATACATACATACATACATACATACATACATACATACATACATACA